AACTGTGCAGTAATCAAAGTTAATTTTTAGTGTCTTCAATCTATATTTGTGGAGACCTTTTCTCCATTCCTCTATTTGTTCCAAATTTTTGAGCTCTCTCTCTGGCAACCTGTGCTAGGTCCTGGGAATGCAAAGACAAATGAGACATTGTTCTCACCTTTGAGAGGCAGAGGTAGAAGGGAAGACAAACTCGTGAACAACTAATTAATACACAGAGATAACTGTGATAAGTATATATAAGATAAGATACCAAGATAAATGGGACAGATAAGTGTATATATAGAAAGTGCAGTGGAAGTACAGAGGAGAGATAAAGACTAGGGGAGTAAGTGAAGTTTACCAAAGATGTGACATTTAACCTGGGACTTAAAATTTATATTTGGCAGGAACGAAGGGGAAGAGCATTGTAGGCAAAGGACTTAACAGGGACAAAGGCAAAGTCCACATGAACCTGTTCTAACAACAGGGAGAGATTCTGTGTGAAGTGCAAGGCACTTTTTATGGGAAAGGGCAGGAGGTGACGCTCTAACAGGGGTGTCCAACGTTTTGGCGTCTCTGCGCCACACTTGAAGAAGAAGGGTTGTCTTGGGCCACACATTAAATACATTGAACATGTAATCACACACACACACACACACACACACACACAAATCTTGTAATGTTTTAAGTAAATTTATGATTTTGTGTTGGGCTGCAAGTTGCACACCCCTATAGGTTTCTCTGTTGTGAAGGATTCTCTGTATTTGCCAGAAGTTTGAACTTTTTCCTGCCCAGAAAGCACTCCGAGGTCTTTAAGCACGGGTGTGCCTCTGACAGCAGCGTGCAGCAGTCTGAAGGTTACCTTGGGGACCAGGTGAGGGGAGTGTCCGACGCAAAGAAGTGGTCTAGATTGGAAACCCATTGGAAAGGCATGCTTGGCAGAAATGAATGCACATTAAATCAGAAATGGTTGAATGCAGAACAACAGAGAAAGAGAACGTCAGGCTGTAAATTGAGTATCTGGGTAGATATTTTCTCCAAGATCTTTTAGTAGGAGAAGATTGAATTAACCTAACCCTTTACATGAACTACTAAGACACATGTTAACTCTCCAATGTACATTTTAGTAATTTTTAAAAAATTAGTCTAAAAGAAGTAACCATGACCAAGCAGGTCCTTTTCTTTGGTCAAAGGGACTTCTTGGTATTTGAAGTCATGTCTACTCATCTGTCACACTCACATTGGTGGCCCTCCATTCAGAGGGAAGGCCAGGACCTGGTGCAAGGCTGTTGGAGCGTTACTTGCTTTTCCTCCCATGATTCCCTAGTCAGAGTGAGGAGAACGCCCTGGGTACACCCAGGTTCAAGGATCCCCGAGGGCAATGAGGTGAAGATATACATTGACTGTTCTGGGCAGCCTGCCACAGCCAAGCCACAACATTACATTGCCTGGGAAACAGTCCTAGAAACAAACGTTGTTGTCACGGTTCTGCCTTCGTTTTGATAAGCTGGATATGGATGAGTCTTCACTGTCATATACTTAATGCTTTTGCTCAGATGTTGGGCTAACTGATGTTTTTCCATGACTTTTTGACAGTTATTTTTGTTTAATAATGAATTATAAAGGGAGATTTACCATCTGTAAATGACAACATTTGTTTTATTTTGACTTTTTTTTTCTGGACAGCAAAGGTTTTATAATTAGCTTTTCCCTCTGCCAAAACATTGCTGAAAAACCATTTCCCTGAAAAAAAAATTTCATAGTTTCCTTTACTTGTTAGAGTCATCTTATTCGGATTTGGAAGTTTTTTTATAAGTCAGTCAGGAAATGAAACAAGGAAAATTTCTTTTGAAAATTAATTCTCAAACAAGTATAAAAAATTAACTTTTGCCCAAAGAAAATTAGAAGGGAAATGAAAATAAACATGTTTGGTGGTAGTTCCATTATCTTTTTAAAATTTTTTTATTGAGGTAAAACTGGTATATAATGATATATAAGTTGATATATATTATGTAAAATTGGTATATAACAGTATATAAGTTTCATTGTGGTTCAACATCTGTATCCACTACAAAGTAATCACCACCAAAAGACTAGTTACTATCTTTTGCAATAAATATAATTGACCCCTTTTAATTTATGGCAGACTTAAGTGAGCAATATAGGAAACTCCCTTTCCTACCTTTTTTTAAAATGAGCTTATTTGATTCTTGCTGTTGCTCTGATCGGTTTTGTGTCTAGCTCTTTGAAATACTGGCGAGACTGTGCTCGCACTGCTGAACAGCACCCTACTGCTCAAAGGCCTACGTCTGTAGTGGATTCTGCTCCTTCTTCGATAAGGGGCAGCCATCAGCCCAGTGCTGCCTGTGGAGATATGACCCCCGACTTCCTTCCTGAAAAGTTGAATTGCCCTCTTCATGGAGCCAAGTCTACAGTTGGCGCTGTGACTGGGGAGCCCAAGAGAACAAGTTGCAGGTGTGTCAGTTACCAGGGCTTTCTCTCTGGAGTGCTCTCGGAAGAAAAGGGGAGGAAGCCACATTGATAACTGACGATAGAATGGCTTATCGTAGCTAATGGCAAAATCATCACACTGAGCTAATGGGAAAAACAGCCATCCTCACTGCACTAGCGCCCTCCCCCAGCACTGTGAGGAAACACCTTCCAGCTCCTACAGTAGCAGTGGCGGCCAAATTCGCTTTGTAGACTATTTTCCTTTCTAAGTCATACCTGAAGGGCTGCTCCTAGAATCAGATTCCAGACACAGCTACCCTTATCCCCATCATCGCCACTCTTATTTCCGCCACCATCATCACCCCACATTTCTGTATTGAGCGCTAACAAATATGTGCAACTGAAAGAGACATTTTGTAATATCTCAATAGTATATCTATTTAAAATGGAGACGTGGAGCATCTTCTACAAACACTGAGTCAGTATCGCTTATAACAATCCAGGCGACAAAGCAAAATAACAGTGCTGTCTCAGCCTTTCTTGTTCTCATGGGGAGGGTGTAAGCATTTCTTTCCAGTGTATTCTTGTATCCCATGAACAGCACCTTCCTTTAAGTTGTGTCATGGGGGTGATGGGTGATATACTCTGAGGAACATGGAAGAACCCTCTGTCCAAAGACGGTGCCCCTTGTTTTGAATATACAGGTTGGCACATGTGAAGTACAATGTGTATTTAATACACTGGCTGAGGTGACTGTTTGGGCATTGGGTTTCAAGAAGAGATGTGAGGTTTAAGGACAGGTTCTTGTAAGTCTGTGACAGCAAATAAGGTTGATTGTGACCTACCCATGTGTTGAAAAATTGTCGCCTTCGTCTACTCTCTCATGAAGCGGAGAACCCACACCTGGAACCCCCTTGGCAGTAGATCCTTGACCTTCTTACCCACCAGCAACAAGGGTGCTTCTCCTCTAAAAGGAATGATCACCTTGAAAAGGTCTCCTTCCGCCGTATCATAAGAAGGGAGTATGCTGTGCTGAGGTTGACTCTGTTCATGGTTTTCATAGGGAAGGGAAGCTTTCTGTAGCCTATGGTATAAAACCCGTGCTCCTCATGTCAGGAGCGTGACTCTGGAAGCAGAAGGGGCCCGGACAGCCACACAGACCTTGTTCAAACCCCAGGCTTGCCACTCACTGGTCTGTTGTTTTCACATCTCATTTTTTTTTTAAGCAATAACATGGTTATAACATTAGACTATTGGGGTGTCATAAATATTGACAGGTGCCCAATCAAGCAATGATCCTAGGTGGTGTCATTTAATTCTCACCATCAGACATAAGGCAGCAAGTATCCTCTCCACATCCAAGATAACGAAACTGAGGCAGCCGATTGCCTCTCATCACTCAGCTCATGTGTCAGGCCTAGAGTCTCTCAGACTCCAGATTCTGTGGAGATCATATGAAATTAAAGTGGTGCCTGGTGCATAGGAGGTGCTTACTTAACACATATTAGTTCTCTTTCCTTCCATGTGTGGCCAGCCTATGGCTTTGAGAGATTTTAATTTCTGTGTTAGATTTTTATATGTGTGAGGTCCTATAGAGCAGGTCTGTATTACTGCCCTCATGTGGTTCATTTGGATAACAGTGGTTTTTAAAAATTGTTTAATTATAAAGTATAACATATGTGCAAATAAGTGTTTAAAATAGGTCTCTAAAGTCACCTACGTGTGTGGATGCTTTTGAAGATAAAATGATTCTACAACCTCACTTTTTGCTCTCTGTGGTCCAACTGAATTTCCAACGTGGAGCCCTAAGCAGCTGGTGGGATACTTAACTTCAGTCACTGTTGTAACTTCTCCTCTGGCTTCCCCAGTGTCCTCCATTCCTTCAGTTTTCTTGGAAGAAAACCCCCCTCTTCCCTGGCACAGCACACCATGAAGCTTTTGGTCTTGCCATCATCCTGTTGGGAGGGGAGAAATTTTTCTTGCAATTATTTTTTTCCACCCAACTGTTCTGTTTGCAGAGACATTTAGCCCACTGAAGAAATCTTCAACTTTCACACTTAAGAGTTCAAATCACCAGGGAGCAGAATGTTAGTTCAATGACCAGTTTAAATGTCGTTTTTCCAGGAGGAAAATAAAAAGGTCTGCTCTCCCCACCTATCAGAAGCTTTAAGTCACTTAGTAAAACTCAGAAGTTTCTTTTCCTGTCCTGGGGGGCCCAGCTTCCCCAGATTCATTCTCTTCTGTTACACCAAGTTGCACACGTGCACTTGAAACCTGGTGCCTCAATTAGCACAGGGCTTCAGCCCCAGCAATTACTGCAGGGGATGTCTTTGTTTTGCAGGCGCCCTGTCCACAGAGGACTGATTTCTCCTGTCAGATCTGTGCCACACTGCAGTCTGGTTATGTCTGAGTGAGGGAGGGCACTTTTGGGTGGGAACAGGGTAGCTGGTACAGGAGAGGGTTAGGAGGAGTTATCTCTTTCAGCTCTTAAGCACCATTTAATAAGAACATATATAGAAGTCTCCTGTTTTTAAACATTGCCCTAATGACGACACCTAATTGTATTTCAGATAACGGAGGGCAGACTCTGGCCGGGGGCAATAACTGGCCCCTTCGAGGAAGGAAGTGGAGCCTGTGGGAAGGAGGCGTTCGCGGCGTGGGCTTTGTGGCAAGCCCCTTGCTGAAACAGAAGGGCGTGAAGAACCGGGAGCTCATCCACATTTCCGACTGGCTGCCGACTCTCGTGAGGCTGGCCGGGGGAAGCACCAACGGCACCAAGCCTCTGGATGGCTTCGACGTGTGGAAAACCATCAGGTGCCTGCACGCCTTCCTCTTTCCTCCCCGGACAGAACTCTAAGGCAGCTTGCTCAGTTGAGTGAGAATGATAGCTTTTGTGTGCAAAGGATAGTTCATCTTACAAACAAATGATTTTTTTTTTAAGAAATGCTTTTAGAGATATTGTAAATTTTTTTCAGGTTTTTGAATCATAGATCTCTTTGAGACTGAAAGATGTGAACTTACAGAAAAGGTACCTAAACATTATGCACAAAAATTTAGATAGAATTTATTTTTATGATATTAGATATCAATAACACTTTTTTTCCTATGTGATTGTGTGTGTTACTTGTTGGTGAGTCAGCTCTAACCCCCGGCAACTCTGAATGAGTGATGTCCATGATGTCCTGTCCTCAACAGCCTAACACTTCTTCTACTGAGTCAATCCATCTCGTATGTAATCTTCCTCTTTTCCTGCTGCCTTGTATTTTTTTTAACTAGCGTTGTTGTCTCTTCCAAAGTCCTCTGTCTTCTCATGATGTGCCCAAAGCAGAGTAACTTCCATTTTGTCATTTTTGCCTCCAACGATGTTTCAGGTTTAATGTGCTCTAGGACCCACTTGTTAATCTTTCTGGTAGTCCAAGGAATCTGTAGAGCTCTCCCCCAACATCAAATTTCAAATGGATCAATTTTGTTTCCTATCAGTCTTCTTCACTGTCCAACCTTTGCACACTCAGTAGTACCTGGGAGTACAGTGGTGTGGATGAGCTTCGCCTTGGTCTCTAATGACACATCTGTGCTCTTGGTGATCTTTCCTGGTTCTTCCATTGCTGCCCTTCGGAGTCTTCAGCCTTCTCTTGATTTTACAACCAAGAAGTTCACTTTGCCAAATGAGGGTACCCTTGAGTTGAGAGCTGGTTGAATTCATTTGAATAATTTCCTGTGCCCCAAATTTACTGAATTTATTATCTTTGGCAAAGTCCAAGTCATTGATATTCATCCATGTCACCAAATTTTGGATTCTAAGTCCACATGTCAGTCTTAAGATTATCTTGATCTCAAGTAACCTTTAAGAGTTTGGCACTAGTTTGTTTCTGCCTGCAGAAAAATTGGAAAAAGTTTGGTCCCCTTAATTCAAGATTTGTAGAGTCTTTCTTCAGTGTGAGAAGAACACTGAGTTCGTACTGACCAACATCTTACTGAACAGGCACCCTCTTTTCTCGAACAGCTTACATAATGTTGACTGCGGGGCTTTACCCAAAAGATATGACCAATAACATTGTCCAAGTATGTTAAACCATGAGAAAGCACAAGGTTTTTTTTCTACTTTAAAAAAGTAAAATCGCTACCCAAAGTTTAATACAGCATTTTAAGACTTTCCTCTGAAAATCCAGCAAATTTCCCTTTGGAAGTGCAGAAGTGCTCTCATTCTGCCCCCCTTTCTTGATAAAAAGATCCAGAAATAAGTGACTTAGCCCCTGCCCAGATGAACCTGGTGCTTCTGGCAGCATGAGGCAAGCCTTTGTTTGTACCAGTGGCAGAGCGTGTGGCCCCCGTGCCCGCTGATACAGAAAGCAGTCAGTCCGACTGGCATCGGGGCTTCTTTTCCAAAGCAGCGAAAACAAGTGGACAGCCAAGTGCCAGAGACACTTGATCTGTGCCCAGAGTTCTGCAACTTTTTCCAGTCAGATATTTGCTCGGAAATACCATTTTCAAGATGATGGTAGTTTCCCAAAATTTCAAAAAGGCCTCATAAAATAGGAATGCCAGTAATGGAAGAAAAACAGCATTGGCTGTGCTGAGAGCACCGGAAGTTTCACTAGTTGCCTAGTTATCAATTCCTCTTAGGCCTGCTTTAAAATACTCAAATGTCAGGACAAGGAGCACTTCTAGAGTGGGTGACATTATTTGGAATAGAAGCTCCTTCAGCTGCTTCAGTTTTTCTTCTGTTCCAAGCCACAGACCATGTTTGTCATTTACAGGGGACATGACTTCTCCGCGCTCTTTCCAATCTGTATGGGTCTTTCATTTTTCACCTTGATAGGCAGCCTATAAGTTGTTTCAACACATTTCAATGGATTCAGACTTTGTAATGCTACTTCTTCTTCTTCTTCTTTTTTTTTTTTTTACTTATTTTCTCTTTAATTAAGCTTATAAACAAAAGCAGAGCCCCTAATCATAATGGTAAGAAGGGTTTCCTTTCCCCTCATCAATGGGAAACTGTTCTAGGTGATATGATATGATAGTGGTGGTAATGAAATATTTTCTGTTGATACAAAATACATTAAAAACTTAACATAACATTATAAAGACTTCTTCCTCCCATGGATTCAGCTTCAAGAAGAAAGTTAAAGGAAAAACAAGTCACTTTTCACCCCTCTTTCTCAGATACCATGAAGCCCAATGAAGCAGCGTGGTCAGTGGGCCAAAGGCAAAGAACCTACGAACTAAAATGATACTTTATTCCAAATATTACCAAGACAACCAGACTGCTTTTGGATAATTATTATTGATACTAATTTTGTAAATATTATGGAATAATATGTCCTTTTCAGTGGAAATTTGTAGCACCACTTTAAGTCCTTACTCACATTGGGATCTGTCTCAGTGCCATTGTTTTAGTCCACTGGCCGAGCCGTTCTTACAGTGTGTCAGCACCTCGCTGTTGCAGTCATTGTGTTTTAAGAGTATATTTAAATACTTGGTGGAAATAGCTCTCCACCTCTCTCCATTGTATGTCTTTTACAAAATTTTGCCGCAGATACATCTGATCAGTGCTCAGCTAAAATTCTCTTTAAGGAACCCTTTACAAATATCTCTCTGAGCAGTTTTCTCTTCTCTGGTGGTCTGTCCTATAAACTTTAGCTCCCTTGGTCTCCCTGGACTGTCAGTTCTGTCTCTTCAGCGGAGGCTGTGCTTCAGTTCCCTTCCCTGCCCTGGGCTTGACACTGTCTCAAGATAGGAAGCTGGGACAATGATAAGACTCACTTCCTTTGTCTGCTGTCACTCAGGGATCACTGTCCTTTGCCTGATACCCAGTGTTTTGAAAACTGTTGTTTTATATATTCTATTTTTCTTTGGGTTGTTTTAAGTAGGGGGGTAAGTCCAGTCTGCCTGTTATTCAATCTTGGCTGGAAGCAGAAGTGCCCAAAGAAAATTTTATTTTGTCTTTATTTTCCTGATCAATATTTTCCTACTTATTTTCTACTTTCAAGTGTTTGATAGTTCAGTCTGGCATTATATTTCAGCATTCTGAAATATAATATTGTAAATCTTTTAACTCTTCAAAAGATTTTTTTCTTCTGCATTCAACTTTGTAATCACATATAGAGAATTTCTATATATCTGTATGTTTATATATTATACATAATATATACCTGTATGTATAAATGTATACATATGTGTCTGTATGTTTAATTACCTTTAATATTACCAACACTCCATTTATTACATATCTTTCCCGTTCTTTCGTTCCTAATTTTAAATAATCTTTTGATTGGTTGGTTAATATTTTAAAGTAATATTTAGTAAAGGTACATAAATGGTGAGTTTTTTTAATCTTTGCATGTGAAGAAAATATTTCTGTCACCCCCAAACATAAATAATATTTTGACAAAGGATTCCTGTCAAATCTTTTCTTCTCAGCATTCTGAAGACTTTGCTTCATTGTCTTTTAATAAGTACTATTACAACAAAGTGTCACAGTTTTACCTGCAAACAAAAGGAACTGTTTTCTTTATTCTTTTCTTTTTATTTATCTATATGAGAAGATGAATACTGTATGCCTTAAACTTATATAGTGATGCATGTCAGTTATTTCTCAATAAAACAAAACAAAAAACTTTTAATTTTTAAAATCTTAAAAGAATCTGAGGTCTTGCAGTCTTGCTATCTGACAAAGTAGAATTTACATCAAAATCATCGGTAAGTATAATGGTAGGAATGGCACAAATGGTGATTTTGTGTTTTGACCCAAGTATTGAAAAGTATGTTGTTTAATTTCCAAATATTTCAGATTCTCTCTAATGATATTATTGATTTCTAGTTTAATTCTATTTTGGTCAGGGAACATACTTCTTATTTCAGTTCTTTTAAATTTGAGACTTGGCCTCACATTTGGTCTTTCTTTGTGTCTGTGCCATGTGGACCTGAAAAGAATGTGTATTCTGTACTTACTAGGTGCAGTGTTAGGTTTTTCTTTATGATCCAGTCAGAAAATATTTCATTTTGTAGTGAGTTTATATCTATTGCTCTGACTAGTATTTTTATTCTTAGCTTTGTCATATTGTTTTGTGTTATATTTACTTTTATCTTTAACCTTTTATTTGTAAGTTCTTTTAGTAATTAGAATGATTTATATTTTATTCCAGTGTTCACCATTATAGTAATATCTTTATATAATTCTCTCAGTATTTTTTTAAACATAGGTTCTACTATTTGATTTGTTGGCTTTAAATGGCATCTTTGACTCCTACTCATTACTTATAGGAAAATCAAGTAGTTTATTAAACTTTACCCTTTCTTTCTCCCTTCTCCAACAGTTTTAGTTGTATTATTTCTACTTTATCAGAGCACATAAATTGTTCTATCATTATCCATAATTTTGTTTTAGTCTCAGACCTACAATGTGTTACATGCTCACCATTTGTCCATTTCTAAAGTGTTCTTAATTACTTTTTAATTGGAGAAATTCCTTCTTTTATAGATTTCTCAGGATTCTTAGAATTGTTCTGTGTCTATTAAAACATTTTATACAACCTTGAGAATTAAAAAACAGTTCAATTGATATAAAATTCTTGTCTCGTACGGTCTTTTCTTGACTTTTCTTGAAAATGTCCTCCCACTCTTACTTGTTTTGTATGTTGCTGTTGATAAGTTTAATGTCAACCTGATTTTCTTTTGCAAGTGACTTGGTCCTTCTGTCTGGAGGCTCAGAAGATTTTTATTATCATTATTGTTGTTATTTAAAGTCTAAGATTTTTCTAGATATGCCTCAAAGGTAACCATGCTGGGTCAGTATTCCCAGATACACAATGCAT